CTCGTCGTCTTCGTCGCCGTCGTCGTCGTCGTCGTCGTCGTCGCCGTCGTCGTCGACGTCGTCGTCGTCGTCGTTCTCGTGGTCGGTCCCCTGTCCATCCCTTTTGGGGTCGGGTCGACGGTCCGCGGCCGCCCCGCCGCTTGCTGGGGCCTGGCCTGCAGGGAAGAAAGGCATACCCCCAAAAAGGGGGTTCGATCGAAGATGAAGAGGGCGGGTATCGAGGGTTTGGGAAATAGGCGTTATTGGACACTCGAGCAGATAAAGGGCGAGCAATCTTAAAATGATTGTTGTTGTTGTTGTTGTTGTTGTTGTTGTTGTTGTTGTTGTTGTTGAACATTATTAATTCTAAAGAATAATTATTGTTGGGACCCCTGGTGCACGGCCCCCCCGCCGCGCCTAGGCCGCAGCTACATTTTCATCATTTTTTCGCGAAAGCTTCAGAAAAGTGGATGGGGTCCAGATCCGGTTGTTTTGTTGTAATCCGTTTTCCCTTGCAAAAAACACTATAAAATGACATTTCTTGTTCTAATATAATCAAATTTCAAGAATCCCTTGCAAAAAATAAGGTAAAGTGGACATTCGCGCGCGCAAGACGAAATCCTTCCAAAAGCTTAGTGTTCGGAACGATTTTAACATAAAAACATCAAAAAACCAATGGTTTTTCAACAAAAAAAATGTCAAAATCTCATCCCGCGCGCTCTTGCGGATTCGTAGGAAAACCAACACTTTTTAAACATTTCTGTCAAACGGGCTTTTGCGAGCAACTTTTTCGAACTTCTGCGACAACGGTTGCGCACCTGCCAGGGCCATCATCCCTGTCAAGTAATACCATGCGGGACAATCATGTGGACAACGATCGGGACAACCATAACCATCAGGACAACTATCGGGACAACCATGGGGACGACGATCGGGACAACCACGATCATCAGGACAACCATCGGGACAACCATCGAGGAAAACCATATCGTCTCTCTCTCTCTCTTGTGTATTCCCACATCCCTCAGGAATTTGCCCTAAAGATGTGATCAACCATCTTGTGCGTACGTACCATGATCATGTGTACCATGTACCCTACGGGTCATATGCAACTGATGCCTTTGCGTATTCCCACTTCGGCACAGGAATTTGATTAAAAAATGTGACGAACTCCTCTCTCTCTGTCTCTCTCTCTTTGTCTCTCTCTCTCTCCCGCTCTCTTCCTCTGTCTCGCCTTCTCTCTCTCAGTGTCTGTACCATGTCTAGCACTGGTAACAAAGGTATTTGTGTATCCCCACATCCGCCCAGGAATTCCACAAATGTGACCAACTATCTTGCGAGTACGTATCATCTCATGTGTGTCGTGCACACTATCAAATGTAACAGAGTTGTGTATTCCCATCATCCCAGGAACTTGACCCAAAAATGTGACCAACTCCGCTCTCTCTGTCTCTCTCTCTGTCTGCTCTCTGTCTCTCTCTCTGTCTCTCTGTATTATGTATTGTATGGCACAATTGCACCATGCTGGGCACATGCGCGCCCCGAATAAGTGACCAAGTTCTGTGGGTGTGTACCCCACGCCAGTGTAGTAGCCACGGTCGTCCGCACGCCACGAAGTGAAGTGTCCCAACGTCATAGGGCGGGAAGCTGGGTTTGGGTGGTCGCGAAGAGTCGTTTGGATATTTGGTAGAGCTTGTAATGCCCCCCCACGAAGTGGGGGTATTGCCTGGTGTCGTATGAAAACCCTGGCACTGGGGAGAACACCACGCGTTCGGGTAAAATGATTGTTGTTGTTGTTGTTGTTGTTGTTGTTGTTGTTGTTGTTGTTGTTGTTGTTGAACTCTCATTCTTGAAGAATAATTATTGTTGATCCCCCCCCACCGGTGCACATTGATTTTTTTCGATTGAAGTGCCACCCCTGGGGCTCGCACCTTGTTTTTTCTGAAGGAAAGTCTTCCTGCTCAAACTGTGCCCCTGCCCCCCGGGCTACAACAACAACGGCTCCCGCCTAAGACTTCCTCGATTTTTACTCAGGACCCCCGCTCCCGCCTGAGACTTCCACGCAATTTACTCAGGAAAGGCGCTCCCGTCTGAGACTACCTCGCAATGTAATCAAGACCCCCGCTCCCGCCTGAGACTTCCGTGCAATTTACGTGGGGACGGCGCTCCCGCCTGAGACTTCTTCGAATTTTACTCAGGACCCCCGCTCCTGCCTGACATTTCCGCGCAATTGACTCAGGAACGGCGCTCCCGCCTGAGACTTCCTCGCAATTTAGTGAGGACCCCCGCTCCCGCCTGAGACTCCGTGCAATTTGCTCAGGAACGGCGCTCCCGCTTGAGACTTCCTCGCAACTTAGTCAGGGCCCCCGCTTCCGCTTGAGATTTCCTCACAATGTACTCAGGACTGCGCTCTCGCGTGCGACGTCCTCACAAATTATTCTGGAATTGCGTTTCGGCGCTCAGGAACCACGCGCGCGCCAAGGACGCCTTCACAACGTGGTATCATCCCTCTTCCTTCGTCCTTCCCCCTCTCCTTCCTCCCACTCTCCCTCGTTCTTCCCCTCCTCCTCTTTCAGGGCCCGCGCCAATTCCAATGGCGGGCAGAGAGATGTACGCCCCCGAAGGATTGTCCGCCCGTTCCGGTTTGCCCGTACGTCTAAGCCCGCCGGCCCCAGCAAAGAGAAATAATCCCCCCGAAAGGGGTGTGATCGAAGACGAAGAGGGCGGGCATCGAGGGTGTAGGGTATACGTGTTGAATGACTCGCGGGCAAGTAAGAGCGTACAGCCTTAAAATGGTTGTTGTTGTTGTTGTTGTTGTTGTTGTTGTTGTTGTTCATTACTCAACAAATATTATGGTTGGACCCCCCAGGCGCTTCGGCGCTCTCGCCTCGGCGCCGGCTACATTTTGATTGAAAATGAAGCTCACGCTCGAGAGCGTCGCGTTGGGGGGGCGCCAGAACTTGTCCCCCAACAACAACAACAACGCTCCCGCTCGAGACTTCCTCCTTTTTTCCTCAGGGCCGGTGCTTTTGCTCGCCGCCGAAGGCCGCCGTCCCAACAAAACTAGCGCTTCCGCTCGAGACTTCCTCCCGTTTTGCCTTGGACTTGCGCGCTACTCTTTCTCTCATTGGCGCCGCCCCCACCAACAACAACGCTCCCGCTCCAGACTTCCTCCGTTTTGCTCAAGGCCGGTGCTCTTGCTCGCCGAAAACCGCAGCCCCAACAAAACCAGCGCTTCCGCTCGAGACTTCCTTCTGTTTTACACTGGACTGGCGCCCTACTCTTTTTTGAATTGGCGCCGCTCCCAGCAAGAACAGCGCTCCCGCTCGAGGCTTCCTCCTTTCTTCCTCAGGACGGTGCTCTTCCTCGCCGCCGACAGCCCCGTCCCGACAAAACCACGGCTCCCGCTCGAGACTTCCTGCCTTCTTACTCAAGGCGGTGTTCCTCCTCGCCGCCGACAACCGCCGTCCCAACAGAACCAGCGTTCCCGTTGGAGATTTCGTTTTGTTTTACGCTGGACTCGCACCCTACTTTCTTCAGCATTGGCTTCGCTCCCAGCAGCAAGAGCGGCCCTGCTCGAGACTCTCTCCTTTTCTATTCAGGGCCAGGTCCTTGCCTCGCCGCCGACAGCCCCCATCCCCACCAAGGCAATCCTGTCGCTCGATACTTCCTTGTGCTTTACCCTTGGCTGGGGCCCCACTGGCGGTCTCGCATCGGCGCAGCAAGGCGCGGGCATGCGTTTTCGAGGCGGGATCTGTTGAATTTCCTCGGAGAAGGTGTTTGCAAGACCTCATTGGGCGGGAGATCCGGGAATGGGAATGACGGACCCCGCTATAGCACAATAGTCGCCCATGATGGGGATGGTTATCAATATGGTCGCATGCTTCGTGTGGAAACATCGCGCATGATGGTAAACTGATTGTTGTTGTTGTTGTTGTTGTTGTCATTGTTGTTGTTATAACTGAATGCTCATTTCTAAAGAATAACTATTGCTCCGGAAACGGTTCCGCGCGCCCTCGCCCCGACGCCGGCTACATTTTCTCTGAAAGCGAGGCTCCCGCGAGAGCGCTGGCTTGAGTTTAAATGTGGGCCCTTGGAGGCCCAGCTATAACGGCAACGGCTCGCCCTCGATACTTCCTCACAATTTACCCCGAGACACCCTGACCAGAGGCCCCCGAACTCAGGAACGGCGCTCTCGCTCGAGACTTCCTCGCAATTCCGCCAAGTTGGCGGAGGCCCAGCCACGATGACAAGGGCTCTTGCTCGATATTTCCTCACGATTTACTCCGAGAGCCCCTGGCCAGGAAAGCCCCCGAACTCAGGAACGGCGCTCTCGCTTGAGACTTTCGTAATCAAACAAGTTGGTGGAGGCACAGAAACGGCGACAAGGGTTCCAGTTCGATATTCCCCCATAAGTATCTTCGAAAGCCCCCTGGCCAGAGATCGCGATTTACTCAGGGAACCGCGCTCTCGCTTGAGACATCCCGCACTTCAATCATTGGCCGACAGGAAGATATTTTTTACACCCCCCCCCCCCCCCGGAAGGCGGTGCAATCGAGGACGAAGAGGGCGGGTATCGAGGGTTGGGGTATACGGTATGCAAGTCTCGCGTGGCAGTAAGAGCGAACAACCTTAAAATTATTATTATTGTTGTTGTTGTTGTTGTCGTTGTCGTTGTCGTTTTCGTTGTTGCTGTTGTTGCTGCTTGGGTAGGACGACAGCCGCACCGCCCCCGTACACATCCCGTGCACCTCGGCGGGCCCGACCCAAGGCTCCACGGACTGGAAAGGTGAACGGAAGCGTACAGGAGCCACACGATTCTTGTCAAACCTGGTTTTCGTTGTCTTTGTAGGGCGGCAATCGAACCGCTTTCTGTGCACCTCGGCGGCTCCACGTGCACCTTCCGTGCAACTCATCCTCGGGAAAGGGCGATGTGATGGGAGGGGGAGGGGTGGGTGTAGTGTACGGGGGGTGCCCCGAAGGGGCGGTTCGATCATTGTTCCCCGTGGTGGGCAGAGCATGTCCCGGCTTGTTGCTTCTGCGATCTTGTGGGCGAACTCTGGAGCCAGCTTCACGCTCTCCTTCGCAGCCACCTTCTGCAGCACCCTCTGAACATCCTCGTTGGAGGGGGCTGCCACTCGAATAGGGAGACAACGACTCCTCAATGGCGCGATGATCTTTGAGACGCTGTCGCAGGTGAGGATGATTCTGCATGTCTTCATGAATTTCTCCATCGTCCGCCGCAGTGCCGCCTGCGCATCTATCGAGAGGCAGCCTGCATCCTCGATAACCACCACCTTGAATGTGTGCCCGCCGATTGGAGGGTGCTGGGCAACCTCCTTGATTAATTGCATTATCACCGCCCTATCCTTGTTGCCAATGTCGGAGGGCGTCACCGAGAGGTGATGGTTCGAAACCACCACTTGGATGTCGATGGTGTTCGAGGGCGTGTTCGGGTTCGGCGCCACCTGGCGGGTCTCGACCTTCCTCATCTCGGCGCCAGGCCCGTAAATCTCGCGCAAGAGCGCCTGTACCCTCGTTGCCTTCCCGGCCCCGCGGGGCCCTGCGATCAGCAGGTGTGGCATCTCGCCCGACTTGGCGATGCGCCTGAGGCGCTCCGTGAGGTCATCGTGGTAGTCCATTTCGTCGAGGCTCTTCGGGCGGTGCTTGTCCACCCAGAGCAGCGACATGGTGCCGCACGCGTCGGCACGCCCCACTTGCCAGCAAGGCCTTGAGACTCGACAGCTTGAGCCAAAACGGCTAACAAACTCTCGAACGTGACACCTCCCAGGACAGAAAGAAGGATCTGGAAACAAGGTCTTCCCCTCTCGCAAGCCACAATCCCCCGTAAATGACTGCAGGTTTGCGCCCCTGAGGCCACCACCCCTGGTAATTTCCAACGGTTTCGCGCTCCCGAGTCCAGAGTCCGCTTTGTAAATTGCGACCAATGCGCGCTCCCGAGGCCGCGAACCCATTTCACGGAGGCTGCCCCAAAGCCGCCCCCCCTTCTCCCGAGCAGGAAGACTATCACTATCTGTATTGGGATCTGTGTTCGGGGGGCGCCGCTGCTCCTTCCCCGCGGCCGCTTCCTTCCCCACCCCTGCCCGCGGCCGCTTCCTCCTTCCCCCTCTTCCCGCTCTTGCCGCCGGACAATCAGCGATGCCGTCTCCTGGCTTGCCCGGGCGCGCGTGCGGACTGCCTCTGCCGTGCTGCGACGTAAAAGGTATTCGGGGGTTGCTTTTCGCCCCCCCGTCGTCTCCCGAGAACGGCGCAGTGCTCGAAGCCGCGAGTGACACAACATAGCTCTAGAGTTGCGCGCTCGCGAAGCCGGAAACCGCTCAAAATTTGAGTGGAAGCGCGCTCCCGAAGCCACCGTCCTTCATTCATTACTACAGACGCGCGTAATCAACCAGCCAGCAAACTGCTGAAATCACCTGCCAGCCATCAGTGTAGATAACAAGCCAATCACAGAAGTCAAACAATCCACCCCATAACATCCACCCCGACTCGCGAAGTCGTTTAGTAAATGCGCCCCAAGAAGGAATCGAACAATGCAAGGCTGTTTAGCAAACTCCCAAGGCCGTTCAATAAACGCCAATTGTCCGGTCCAGGTGTTTTCCCCCCCCTTGAAATTAGCCTAGTTGCCAGCCGGCCAACCGACAAGAAAACCAATCAACCTGCCGACCCAGCGTGTCCATGCGAGCAATCTTAGGTTGAGCCAGCGGCAGAGGGCGAGAAGCCCTTCGGTCCCCCTACGTGTGCATCGTATTTTCGTGGCACGTCTTTCTGCGGGTACATGGCGGATTTCGGAAACCCTGTACCCAAAAAACGTTTTCATCTCTTGGGGGCGCATTTTTTACTTCCGCCGCCTTCCGCCGAGCTTCCGCCGGCTTCCGCCGGCGGAGGCGGCCTCGCTTTACTTCCGCCGACCTTCCGCCGCCTTCCGCGGCGGAGAGAGATGCCAACTCTTTCTATCCCCGAAGGCAAGGCCTTTTTTGGAACGCCTCACATGCCAAAGGGCGTCTGTGTGAGAGGGAATCGCTCGCACGAGGCATCCCCGAAGTCTGCAATTCTAGGTGCGAGTAGGTCGCAAGCCTGAGCGTAAGTTAATCCTAGTGTGAGCGAATCTGAATGCGAGTGAGCCTGAGTTTGAGTGAGACTTAATGTGAGACTTACTGCTGACGCTGACGATGATGACGATGACGATGATGACGATGACGATGATGATGATGATGACGATGATGGTGATGATGAGGAGGATGATGAGGAGGAAGATGAGGAGAAGGATATTGAGATGGAGAAGGAGAAGGAGGAGGAGGAGGAAGCGGTGCAGTGGAAGGGGGAGGGCGGGACGGATACTTACTGATACGGGGGAGGAGGTCGACGACGACGATCACAAAAAGCTCGACGATGACGACGCAGAAGACGCAGGCGGATCAGAAGCAGGAGATCGCACGAACACTCTTAGGAGTCACCTTGTCTCAACAAGCGCTGTTAGGGGATACTGGACTCTGGCTATACTAGTTTTTTTCCCCAATTATGTGTGCCTAAAGGTTCTTACTTGGTT